CAGGGGGGTTTGGGGGGCACTCAGGGGGGTTTGGGGGGCACTCAGGGGGGTCTGGGGGCACTCAGGGGGGTCTGGGGGCACTCAGGGGGGTCTGGGGGCACTCAGGGGATGTTTTTGGGATCTCAGGGGTGTTTTTGGGGTCCCTGGAGGTGTTTTTGGGGGAGCTCTGCACTGCTGCAGCTCCTGCCCATCCTCCCCAGGTGCCCCAAGGGGTTGCCCCAGGTAGCCCAGGTGCCCCAGAAGGGTGCCCCAGGTAGCCCAGGGAGGTGCCCCAGGTACCCCAGGGGGGTCACAGAGGTGCCCCAGGTACCCCAGGGGGTTGCCCCAGGTGCCCCAAGGGGTTTCCCCAGGTAGCCCAGGTGCCCCAGAGGGTGGCAGAGGTGCCCCAGGTGCCCGGTACCTGCTGGCAGAACTCCTTGATGCTGCGGCCGCCCTCGAGGAACTGCTCGAAGAAGCGCCGGTGGCGCTGGAGGCAGCCCGAGGTGAGCAGCCGCAGGTAAACAACCAGGTAATCCGAGGTGGCCGGCTCGTTAAACGCCGCCAGCAGCTCCGGCAGCGGCACCCGGCGCTCCACGCGCTCGATCAGCTCCATCAGCTGGGGAAACACACCTGGGTCACACCTGGAGCACACCTGGGGCACACCTGGATCACACCTGGAGCACACCTGGGGCACACCTGTCACACCTGGAGCACACCTGGAGCACACCTGGGGCACACCTGATACACCTGGGGCACACCTGTCACACCTGGAGCACACCTGGGTCACACCTGTCACACACACCCAGCGCTCCACGCGCTCGATCAGCTCCATCAGCTGGGGAAACACACCTGGGGCACACCTGGATCACACCTGGAGCACACCTGGGTCACACCTGGGTCACACCTGTCACGCACACCCGGCGCTCCACGCGCTCGATCAGCTCCATCAGCTGGGGAAACACACCTGGGTCACACCTGGAGCACACCTGGGGCACACCTGGAGCACAACTGGGGCACACCTGGATCACACCTGGGTCACACCGGGAGCACACCTGGAGCACAACTGGGGCACACCTGATACACCTGGAGCACACATGGAGCACACCTGGGGCACACCTG